TTGTTTTATAGATGACGATAAGTCAAGGCCACCATGGTATCTAACCAGTGACAGTAAGTCAATCAATGACATATGATCAATACATTGTATTACTGGCGAAACATGTACCGCCCGACATCCTGGAAGGAAAGTTCGTGGCGCCCCAAATTCCTTGGCAAGCAGACGCCGAACATTTTGCAGCATATACGACACGTGCACTTGTCCAGCGCTCAGTATGACACTCGGACTGCTCTAGTTACGACCGTAAGTTCTTAACAAATATTCTCTGCTTTCATCCTGAGACGTGTGCACGTATGCCGCCGAAAGAGCACTGAAAGGTAGAGAGAGCTCGTGGAGTTGACGTGGAGTCGATGAACACGAGGCCTGACGTGACCTAGCCGTGCTTCACCGTATGTAACAGGTCAACGATCCAGTATTTCAAGTACTTCTCTTTAAGTGCTTTCAAGTGTTTTACAAATACAGATATTATCAAATGTGATCTGCGTGCTGCCTCAAATGTATATGCGTTTACAAATGCTATCGAGTCCTGTCATTACCTTGAAGTGAAACATGCTATTTTTCAAGGCCGCGGATCATATAATATTTTTTCGTGCACGCTTTTACCATCTGGAGGCGTTCAAGGATAACATTTATTTTACCCAATCCACCCGCTACCTGTGGAGCTGTGCCTATACCCACCCGCTTGCCCCGTGGAGCTGTGCCTATTCCCACCCGCCACCCGTGGAGCTGTGCCTATACCCACCCGCTACCCGTGGAACTGTGCCTATTCCCACCCGCTGCCCGTGACGCTGTGCCTGTACCCACCCGCTACCCGTGGAGCTATGCCTGTACCCACCCGCTGCCCGTGGAGCTGTGCCTATACCCAACCCGCTACCCGTGGAGCTGTGCCTGTACCCACCCGCTACCCGTGGAGCTGTGCCTATTCCCACCCGCTACCCGTGGAGCTGTGCCTGTACCCACCCGCTACCCGTGGAGCTGTGCCTATTCCCACCCGCCACCCGTGAGCTGTGCCTATACCCACCCGCTACCCGTGGAGCTGTGCCTGTACCCACTCGCTGCCCGTGGAGCTGTGCCTAAACCCACCGCTACCCGTGGAGCTGTGCCTAACCCACCCGCCATCCGTGGAGCTGTGCCTATACCCACCCCGCTACCCGTGGAGCTGTGCCTATACCCACCCGCCATCCGTGGAGCTGTGCCTATTTCCACCCGCCATCCGTGGAGCTGTGCCTATACCCACCCGCCATCCGTGGAGCTGTGCCTATACCCACCCCGCTACCCGTGGAGCTGTGCCTATACCCACCCGCCATCCGTGGAGCTGTGCCTATACCCACCCGCTGCCCATGACCAGTAAGTAGCCCCACGCGTCACCCGCCCCCGTTTGTATTTTTCTAGCACTTCAGACCCAACTTGTTACAAATTGCGTGAACGTACACTAAAACAACTTACTCTTTTGCGTGGATAATTGCTGCAGTGGTGCGAATGAAGGTAATTTTGGCACGCAAAGGCGCAGGCAGTACTAACATGTAGTGTTTCTTGAAGGGTACAGCCGAAATTTTGTAAACGTATGATCAATGTCGATACCCTATTTTGCCCACAGATGTGCCCAGCCGAGCTCAAAAACCCATTCCATATGAGAATCGCTGACTTTGCCCAGGCAGCGAAGTTTCTTAGGCACCAACCAGTATTCTAAACTTGTCGAAACACACCATACGTAGAACCAGCGAGAATCAGTGACGCTTTCTGGACGTTTCTATCATTCACATTCCCGCAAACACCACATATTTTTCCTCCAGCCACCACTGTGTAATACTCATTGTAAGAAAGGGAAGGATGCTATTACAAAGCTGCAGAATTATTCCTAAATAATTGATGGCCTTATATATAACACTGCATGGAGATAAAACTCCACAACGTCAAATGACAAAAGCAGGGTGGAAAATGAGCCCAACTTACGAACGAACCCAACTTATGTTTCTGTGAAGGCTGGGTCCTTTACAACACGACAACAGCATCCCGTCACGAACAGCGGCAGTTGGCATCCGTACGTTCCTTTTGTATTTAACTCGTATCCGAGGCCCAGTGACGTCATCGTCCGATTCTCTGTGGCTATATTAGTGAGCTGGTCGTCAGGTCGGAGCTGCTAGCCTGTCATCTGCCGTCGATATCTCTTCACGAAAGGCACAACCGATTTTCCCTCGCCTTGGAACTTAGGCGGTGTAAACGGATGGCAGCAAAAATGATTGAAATGCAAGGCAACTTCAGATGTGCCTGAAACAGCCAGTTTCAGCAAATGAGCGGCATGTCAATATCGATGCTGTAAATGACTGATCATCCCAAGCGCCAGCCTTCAGACGTCGAGTCATGCGTTCGCAAAGCATGGTGTTCTCGTGGACACAGTACATACCCGAGCCCTGCACCACCCCGTTGCGGAACCACTCCCTGAATGTCGTCCATATTGATCTTCACCGGCTGAGATCAGTGTTCTGACTCTCACCGGTTTGGTTTGGTTTGGTCCGGTTTGGAAATGTCCTTCCCAAGCGCGCCGGTTGGCTAGAAGCTACTCTCACTTTCAGTGGCATGTCATTCCACGTTACAGAGTAGCTGGAGTCTGGTTCCAGAAAACTGTCTGCAAACTGCAAGCTGTCAACTCTCTCGGCTCTCTGCATGCTATGTTTGGTCACTGTTTGAATGGGTCTCCTTGTTGACGGCATCTTTATAGGCAAAATCCGCGTTTTGAAGGATAAAAATAAATCGAAGTTGTCAACATGAGGGACAAAAATGAAAATGGGTGTTCACGTGCAACGTTTACAGGGCTTTGCTATCCTCGCGCTTTGCTTACAACATGCAAGAAGTGAGAATATCCTTTTTGACACCCAGACGTGTTCACACGTACTTAACGGTGTTTAGTGCATCGTAAGTTCCGATGCCAGTGTCCAACTCAAAATTTTAAGCAACAATTAAAGCGCGCCGTTCTAAAACCAACGTCAAAAATGGCCTGCCGTCTTTGGTAAAACCACTCTAGTTGGATCAGTAACGCGCATGTTAACGCAAGCCACACAACATGCGCAAAACCGTCGGCTGTAGGGAAACAAATACATACGCTTACCATACGTAGGCACACTAATAATACCGGCAGTTAATTGGTATTGTGCTATCACAAGACATCTTAAAGCCCCGCGAGGCTACGCGCTGTTAGTTGAATTTCCTTGAGCGCGCCCTTGAGATGCGGGTGCAGGATATCGGTGCCCGTTGTCATGAGTTATGGACTCTGCAATACACGTTTTGAAAGCAGTCATGCGACATAACTTCGAATGCCATGTGTGAAGGCCATGGGTGCAGATCATTCTGAGGCCGAAACCTACCGTGTATTGTCGGGACAAGAAAAACAAAAACGAGCCATTGTCTCAGACCCCAGTGCTCTGATGAGAGTGGCCACGTGGGACAATCACTCAGTGCAGTCTGCTATTTAACAGCGGAATGTCAGCTTGGCTGCCGTCACAATCAAACATCACGGCAATAAATCTGCGCTCAGTCAAGCCTCCACACGACAGTTAAATCACCACTCACGCCGTGCACACATCAGCGTGGGGTCAAGCGCGCAAGGCAGCGCAGGGTCACACGTGTGTATCAGCGCGGGTCAAGCGCGCGAGGCAGCGCAGGGTCACACGTGTGTGTCAGCGCGGGGTCAAGCGCGCAAGGCAGTGCAGGGTCACACGTGTATGTCAGCGCGGGATCAAGCGCGCGAGGCAGCGCAGGGTCACACGTGTGTGTCAGCGCGGGGAAGCGCGCGAGGCAGCGCAGGGTCACACGTGTGTGTCAGCGCGGGGTCAAGCGCGCAAGGCAGCGCAGGGTCACACGTGTGTGTCAGCGCGGGATCAAGCGCGCGAGGCAGCGCAGGGTCACACGTGTGTCTGCGCGGGATCAAGCGCGCGAGGCAGCGCAGGGTCACACGTGTGTCAGCGGGATCAAGCGCGCGAGGCAGCGCAGGGTCACACGTGTGTGTCAGCGCGGGGTCAAGCGCGCGAGGCAGCGCAGGGTCACACGTGTGCGTCGGCGTGGAGGCCGGCACACTAACCGAGTGCCGGGCGTATGTAAATGCCCTCCGATGGGGTGGCGGCGGCAGGGCGGGCCGGCGCCGACTCGGCACAGGTGCGGGAGGTGCGGCTCCGGCCCAGGACCGGGGGGCTCCTTACGCCACCTGTCACCCTGCAGACGACGACACCGCTCCGCCCGCTTCCGGCACAAGCGCTGTGAGGTGCGTCGACCACCCGTCTGCGGAGCGGCCGCTTCAGTGGCGTTATCTCCGGTTGGTATCGGCTGCGGCAAGTACTCGCGCCGTGACAGCCGCACTCGGCCCTCCGCGCCATGTGTGGCGATTGATCTGCGTCGTGTTTGGTCGTCGCGCGCGCGGTTGCCACAGTGAGCGCGTCGCGGGGCTCTTCGGCGTCGTCACGCAGCCCCCGAGGACCGTTTTCGAAAGTCTGCTTTCGTTCCGGTGAAAATTACCTCCCCGAGCACCGGCCGCCGCGCAGCTTTTCCGTGTTTCTCCGCTTCCGAACGCGCCGCCGCGGCGTCCAGCGGCCTCGGCCAATCTCGTCCTTGGTCGTCCCCCTCCCCGCCCCAGCCGTCCCCTGTCGCCGCCTGCCGTCTCCCCCCGGTTCCTCGTACACGCACACTCCCGTCCTACTCGCGAGCCACACCCTCGCCCTCCACACAGCCGCGGTCCGCGCCGCCACCGGGAGTGGGGAGGGACCGGGGCTGGGGGGGGGCCCAGCTGTGACGTCAGCGGTCGGCGCGCGGCCGTGTCGCCGTCAGTCGCGCGGGATCCGAGCTGCGGAGTGGCCGCCGTCACGTGAAATCGAGCGCGCAGCGCACGCGCCAGCGCCGCACAGCGAGCACGGTGGTGCGAAGGACGGTGGGGACGCCGCCGCAGGACGGCGGGGAGATGGCCGGGACCGTGGTGCAGCTGCCGTCAGCCGGCCGCCGCCGCCGACGCGCTCTCTGAAGTCGGCGCTCAAGAAGGGCACGGCGCGTCGGAAGCGACAGGTGGTGATCGACGAGGCTCGAAACACGTACTGCGAGGCCACCAGCTTCTTCTTCGACGACGTGCCGCTAACGGAGCGGGGCCGGCGGGTCGCCTTCGGCCGGCCCCAACCGACGAAGGCGGCGACCGCAGGGGTCGGCACCGACGTGGACGCCGCGCGGCTGTCGGAGGCGGCGACGACGGCGGACAAGCCTGGCGGGGTAAGCCGCCGTCGAGCGCTGCGGCCGCACGGGCGGCGGAATGTTTGCATGCGCGCTAAGCCGATGGGGCGCTGATGGCGGCCGCGCTGTGTGGTGTTCACAGTTGGCGGCACCTGAATCGACTCGGGGGTCCCGGGCCACCGAGGCTAATCGGCGCTAGTCTCCGCGCTCGGTGGCCCCTGGGACGAGGCGGCATGTCGGTAGGAAAAAAACGAACGCAGGCCACATCGACACCCTTTTGGGAGTCGGCGGCGTAAAGAGGCGGTTCGGGCGGGCTGCCGGCCGCCAGTTTGTGCCACGCCCACACTGTCCCGTCCCTTCATCCGCTGCCCGACATGGAGCCAGGCTGGCCGGCCCAATCCCTGCCCATAACCGTTTGTCATCATCGGATCGCTCACGCCTCATCGTAAGCACTGTGAGGTCACGGACCCACACGGGCCTCCACCTGTCCTTCCTGTTTTTTATGCGGCACACGGCTGAGGCCGGTGGGGACGGCCGTCTGGAATCGGGACAAGGCTACCCGCCAGCGTGAGGCCCGTGTGGAGGGGGATCATCAATTACACGGACAGCCACGCGCGTGGACGTGGGCGTGGGGTAGGGGGCGTGTGCGCGCTCGCCGTCCCTCCCACACGGTCGTTTCTTCCCTCTCGGCCCAGCTCTCACTCTCTCTCTCTCTATTCCCCTCTCCGTCTTGTTGCATGTGTACGCCTTCACATCACTCGCGGTACGTTAGTTCTCTGTGCAGGCGAAACGGTCATCTGTTGGGGTGTCCGTGCAAAACTCAGAGCTCGATAAGGTGCGTGAGAATTCGTCAACCCTAACGTGTGCAGGCCCTGGCCATTGCGATTCTCATCAGGAGTACGCGTTTCGTGTTTCACTCAGGTTAGATGAACAACGTTCTTGCGTGGCTGCCATGCCACGGACACACGCATCAGCCGGACTTTCAGACAATGGCCAGACAAAGGGCTAAGCGTTATTAGGAAAAATATTTCCTAGTCGGCTAATTCCCAACAGAACCTTTCGCTCGATGATGTTTAAACGGTAGCCACAGCCAGATGACAACAAAAAGTCAACCATTAACTGCGAAATGCGGTTGTCTTCCGTCAGTAGATCGCAGCTAATCGCTGGCGGTTTGCACAACCGCAGAGGAACAGCTCCGCTCCAAGTGCTCGCGGCCGGCAGACGGCCGCGTTTGCGATGGGAGAGCCCACGCTGTCAGCTGCCGGCCACAGACCGCCCGGCGGCTGCCCGGCGGTTGCCCGATGGTCATGCGCCGGTTCTCCCTGCCCGCCGAAGGCTCCCCGGCGGCTGCCCGACGGTCATGCGCCCGTCTCCCTGCCCGCCGCAGGCTGCCCGGCGGCTGCCCGACGATCGCTCGCCGGTCCCACTGCCGGTAGCGAGACCACGGACCGTCGGTCACGCCGGGTATGGCCGGAAGTTACTACTTCCGGCGCAGTCAACAGCGCTCGGAGAGGCAGAGGACGTTCGTTTGTGGGTCACAAAACATCGGTGTCTGATGCATTGGACACGCCGCGCTGCGTCCCGCCGCAACACGAGCGGTAATTGCCTATTAACGCGGAGACCATTGACCGGCCTCCCGCGCTGGGGCGGTGTGCACAACACGGCGGGGCCGAGGCGGACCCGCCAAACGTACCGGAAGGCGCGCATGCAGACTGGCGGGTTCGTATGTAGTCCCACTTTGTTTGCAAACAAAGGCGCGGTTTTCATGAGCATGGCAACATTTTCTGTTTTACAGCGCGCCTAATTGATCCGTAATTTGACCTTTTGAGTGACGGGTCCCGTTACAGGCGTCGGTGTGGCACGTCAATTAAATGGTCTGTCCAGTTTTAAAAGTACGGCACCGTTGCGGTGGCCCCCACCACCGAACCATAACTCGTCATGCTTTAGATTTGAATAAGGTTAATTGATAAACCGCACAAAACGCGGGCATGGATCACCTTAAAGATTTCGAAATTGGGCCGCATTATATGGAGAAATTATTGGTAGTCCAAATTGAGCAACGGCACTCCAGTTCGAGGACGTTCTTGTGACTAACTCAACGTGCTGGGAGTAGATTTTGATGAAGCCAAGCATAGCTGGCACCCTGCTGGCTCCATACCCCGTAATTAACATGTGAAGCGGCCTAACACTTCGCGGCGCCGGCTATACGACCACCCACAAGAACTTGTGTACGTCTCACTTCAGGTGCACACGGTGGTAAGTGAAATCAACAGGCCATAAATGCGGCAAGACGCGGTAACAAACAGCCTGTACCCAATTGAGGGCGGGTGGCTGCGTTTGGAGCGTGTGGGCATCGGAGCGCGGGCCAGGAGCCGTACAACACGACCCAGCTTCACTTGGCATGTCAACTTGAACGCGACCAAACCACGTCCCGTATAATACGCTCCGAACTGGCGGCACACCACCCAGGAAAACAGTCTCGAGCAGCGCGCTCGCTTTGCCGGCGGCCCGACGGCGGCCGAATTCCAGCACTCCGGTGCCTCCTTTCCGCGTGCGGGGGCCGCGTGTTCGTGGCCCGCCCACCCGGTTGGCGTCCGCACCCTCGCTGCACGCGCCGCCCTGCGATGCCAGAGCGCCGGCACTACGGCCGGCCAAAAACTGGAGGCCGGCCGGTGCGCCCCCTGTTTGTGAGAACCCCGGCCAGCGGCGGCGAGCGCGCTAGGAGTGACGGCTCCTCCACCGCCCTCCCGGCCGGGCGACAACGCCCCACGCGCGAGCGGAAACGCCCCCCCCCCGAAATAACAGAAGAAGGGGTTGGCCGTGAGGCCCGCAAGAGCGGACAAGGCCCCTCGAAACAGCGCCGGAATGCGGGACAGAACCGTGCATTCTCCCGCCTTTTGCCAACGGACCGCCCTGCGCCCCAGAGACACGTACCCGACCGCCGCGCGGCGTACACACACGCAACGCCTCGGAAGCAGCAAAAAATGACGCAGGCTGGCCGGCCTTGCAGCGGGGGGGGCCGCGGGAGTCTCGCGCCGTATTTAGGCGCGTGCGGGCAGGGACCGCGGGTCTAGTGAAATTGTCCGTAGCGCGACGTGCAGACGGCCGGTTCTTCGATTCCGGTGCACAGCGGCCGTGCACGTCGGGGGTCGGAGTCACGGCTGTGTGCCGTTTCCTGGACTGGCCGGCGCGTGCCGGGCCGGCACAATGCGCGGACCGTTCCGCGCTGGGTGGCCAGGCGTGCAGTGCCGGAACGTTTTGCCCGAGGCTTGGTGCAGTCCGCGGAGATGCCCGCGTGGTCTTTTTTCCTTCTTTTTTTTTGCGCCGACGCCGCGGAGATGTCGGCGGGTCCACAGAGACGTTCGCACGGAATTCCGGCCGGCGCGCACACGCGCGACCTGGCGCCGCGGTCAGCTGATCTGATCGGCGAATGGGGATGTACGGTACTCCCGGCGCGGTTTTAACGCAGAGTCTGGGCTTGCGTAGCGGGCTGGGGTTATCGCCACGACATAAACCGGCCCGGGTGTGAGCATTTAAAAGACGCGGCGCCGTCTCCCGGCCGGTCGTGCTGGCCCCGGACCCGGACATGTCACACGGCCCGCATGCTCCACCGAGACTGCGTGGGTAGACGCACGCACCGGCGTACCCGTGCGGTCGGATTCGACGAGCTTGTGTCTGAGCGTGGGTAAGCGGGAGGGGCGGGGAAGGCGAGCGCAGCCGTCGGCAGAGACGCAGCGCAGCTGGTGCTGGTCACACGGCGCGTGAGAGCGCTGGATCGCAGGCGACTCGGCCGGCCGCGTTCGCCAGGAGGAACATGGCACAGGTGCAGCGTTCTCCGGGTAAGCCGCGAGGCTGCCAAGGGCGGAGCAAGTGCGTCGGAAGAGGGGGGGGGGGGGGGCGATGGTGGTGCGATGCTATATTTGCATGGCGCCACCACGTTACGTGGTTGTTGAAAGCCATGGTAGATGTCAGGCGGAGCATCGCTCGCCGCGGTAGATGTCAGGTGGAGCATCGCTCGCCGCGGTAGATGTCAGTCAGGTGGAGCATCGCTCGCAACATTCGAGAACGTGGCTGCCAGTCGCCTCTTTCACAGCAATTTCTGCACGGACTTTTATCCAGCATCAGACCCCGGAAAAGAGCTGTTTGAAGACTCCGGGATCATGCGTAGTTACGTCACATCCACGCGGTTGTTTACAAGCGTATCTCCGCCATCATCTTGCATCAATCTGCTCCACGTCTCCGCTTGTGAAAATCAGCGGCCAGGTCCGGCGCCGGCTCAGCTCCCGGGCCTTACCGCTGTCACAATGTCAACACGTGTTACACAGCCGCATGTGAAAGTCCCAGGGACACATACCAGGCCGGGTTTACCTTGCGATACGCAGCGCGGCCGGCACATAGAGGTCACGTGACCCGCCGGCGTGCGCCATGCGTCGCGATCTGCGTGGACGGTGAGCGGTGTGCGTCATCGAACAAAGCAAAGCTAACGAAGCGGGCTCGTGTGGGTGTTGCAGGCTGCTGAGAAGCGTTGTTTCAGAAATGCGTGAGGTCGGGCGGGCGCGGCGCTGCGTTGCTCTGTTCAACTGCTTCGCTTCTGACTGCCTTCGAAATGGGTCAGCTGAAAACTTGTGAACTTCAGCTGTTGAACTGAGCTTCTCTGCTCGATCGTGTGAGTGAGATCACTGATCGTGGCTAGCAGCCTGTTCCACGACGTGCGTGCTCACACTAATTATCAAAACATTCCCCTTTTCTTTGCGCTTATGTTGGGGGTTGTTTGATACGTCGGTGTTTGATAGCGATTGCATTGGTGGCAGAAATGCCCACCTTTCTGCCGAAAATATGCACCGATTTTTTTGCACCTTCATACATTTAGTGAACAACTTTTACCTGACGGGCATTTTTTACGATTGCGGACATGTAAGCCATCTGCAGGTAAGATAGACTTTTGAACGCCGCATCCTCTCCTCGCTGCGGTCAGTCTTACGTCTCCGCATCCAAACAGTCCGTACCATTCCTCAGCCCCCTGACCCACCCGTCCTC